AAATTTTTCAATACATAGTTATATACAAGTCTTGAATTTCTATGAGCTACCACAAATCATATAGACAAACAATGCTTTCTTGCTTATAATACACTTCCAGTATTTCTTACTAAGTCTAAGAAACAGGTTGCCACAAAATATAAGACTGATATGTTGTAAGGATGAACTTGAAACCCGTAAACCCGGTCTAGACCCACTTTACCCCATCCTGTACTCGGAACCCGTTTCTATATATTGGTCCAAAATCCAAGTCTACTAAATCATGTTTTTCAGTTTCTGGGTTGTGGTCCATTCGGGTCGAGTTTGGACTCTTTTTCACTCCTAATACATTTGTATCAATAGAGTGACAGTAGAACCACATATGTTCCAATTCCATAAGCTTCTAAAACTTTGTATCATGCCTTGTGGAACTCATGATATATAGTTTTTGTTTTCATGTGGTGTTGTATAATCTGATATCAACATAGAAAAACATGCAATAAAGAGACACTTAAATAAACTTATTGTTAGTCACCATGAGTATGACTTGCAAAAACATATATGTTTAGCATAGATATAAATCATCACATATTTCTCCCTGTTAACTTTGCATAGTATGACTTGGCAAGTCGGCAATAGATTTATATTGTTGGTCATTATCAACATGGAAAAACATAAGTTAACTTTGCGTGGTATAAGTTGAAAATCGAAATAAACCGATCTTGAGGGGTATGTTTTGTAGAAGTGAAAAACTTCAAGGTTTTCCCTGCGCGGATATACAACTCCAAACCGGGTGATGAAGGGAAGAATTAAAAGAGGGCTTGAGGCCGTAATCGATCATCAGAGTTAAATCGAGATTTGTGTTGGAACACCACCGAATTGTAACCGTCATCCGATCGGTGTGCTTTCGTTTTCGTTTTGGGCGTTTCTTTTGATCGATCAAGTATCAAGAACTGAGCGGATTGATTCAGAAGTCTCGAAATTGCGATTATTAGGGTTCTGGTGAGTTCCCCTTTCAATTGAACTCTTTCGTTCTGTTTTTTTCGCAATTTTTTCTGATCTTATGCAGAAATTTCTCTAATTTGTTGTAGATTTTGTAATTTTATTGATCTGGTAAGTTAACAATTGGGGATTGAACATCTTGCAACGTGAAAGTTCGCGAGAAAGTGCGAATTTTCTGCTTCAAGAACCCAATCTTCTTCTGTTCTTAATCCGTTTTATGTCTCACCTCCTTCAATTTCTGGCATTTTCAGTCCGATTGTGATGTTGGTTCCATGTGGTAACTGTTAATTTGGTTCTCCGACCGATTCTAACACCAAAACCCTAATTTGGTTAAAATGTCCACCCCATGAATTGGGTTTTCTTCCGTGCTCAATTTTTTCAATCAATGTCAACCATAACTCGATTCTTTGCCTGAAAACACGTTATATATTAGTTCCACCTGTATTTCTTAAAACATTCTTTTTGTGATAGCATTAATCTTGTATGCTTTGTATTTTGATGCAGTTTGGCCTTAAACGCTTCTCCCTCCAGTAAAGCATTGGCTCGAAGAACTTTGAAGATTGAAGATATAGAAGTATAATGGGAGGATATGATTTAGATGTGAGCTACTTTCTAGTTCATCTCCATTTTCTTTTTGATACTTTCAATTTTACTTAATTGCATATGGTTACATTCATGTAGGAATATGAAGAGTACGAAGATGAAGGTGAATACCAGGAAGATAATGTTGGTGAATATGAAGAAGAAGAAGAAGAAGAAGAAGAAGAGGAAGAGGATCGATTACCTACACAGGAAGAGATGGAATACCTTGAATTAAGAGCAAAGTTAAAGGAATCAATAAGAAAGAAGATGAAAAAAGATTCAGGTTCTGGCCTTGCCAATTTTAGGGAAAAAAAGAATAAAATGCCATATGACAAGTGAGTACTATACTACCATTCTTTTTAAACATTTTTGAAGTGTAGATTTCCAATATAACATACTTATCAACATGTAATTTTTCTATATATTGCAGCTTTGGATCCTTTTTTGGTCCTTCACAACCAGTAATTGCTCAAAGGGTAATTCAAGAAAGCAAGTCATTGTTGGAGAATCCACATTTGGCAGAAAGGGTTCCAAAAGCTAAGAATATCGTATGTATTTTCCTTTTCCTTTATCTAACATTTAATTTCTTCTACACACAACAAAATTTTACTTTAATCGAGTAATTTATCTTTGCCTTTTTCCTTAATAGCTTCCACAACAAAACAAGGGTAGTTCTTCAGCTCCAACAGGATCCAAACCTAGACCCAATGAGCCTCCACGAAAAGTAGACACATGGGTAAGATTCAATTTCATGATCTAACCAATAATATTCATTGTAAATTTGTAATCCACATATTCTCACATTTCCCATTTTACCCTTTTAGGCTAAACCCAAAGCAAAAATCCAAATGCTTAAAAACACTAGAGATTACTCATTTCTATTATCAGATGATGCTGAGCTTCCAATTCCACCAAAAAACCCTCCAAAACCCTCTTCTGCTCCAAAACCTGGTATTTTATTTTATTTTTCGATTTTTTCTCTTCCAATTATTTAACTTTTCAAAACTTTTTATCTTTTTAAATATTTATAATGAGTTAATTAATGAGTTGTTGATATGTTACAGATGCACATGTGTCACCAAGACCACCGGTCAACAACGGGGGTAGAAAAGTCATAAATGGCCGTGAAGAGAGAAGACCGGGCCCCACATCTAACCAAACGCGAGTGAGACCACCACCACCCGGTCAACAACAAAGTCAAAGGCCTAGTGGATCAAGTAAAATGACATCTTCGTCCCTAGATTCTAGAAAACAACTCGGGAGTGGTCCCGGGCGGCCTTCAGGACAAAAACCTTCGATGCCCTCCAAGATGCCGCCAGTTGCCGCCAAGCAAAAGGTGATTCCGCCACCTGTTTCTAGAAGCATACCCACCGGACACAATCACAGACCTCAAACATCAAACTCAAGACCACTGCCAGGTGTCACCCAAAAGAAACCATTGGATCAAAAAAGAGGATTACAATTACAATCACAATCACAATCTCAACAAAGGAGGGATGATAGAGGGTATGAAAATAGAAGAGTTGATGATAGAGATAGAGATAGAGATAGAGATAGAGGGGGATTAGGATTACAATCCAGTAAAGGAAATGTTGTTAGAAAGCCGATTTTGTCTTCTAAGCCTCAGGTATGTGGATATTCTATGTGTGTGTTTATATATTTATTTTAATTTTATGTTTGAAGATAGTGAAATGTTTTTTTTTTTTAAATTGGGATGATTGTGGAATTATTGATAGGTGAAGCAACAACAACAGGGTAGGCTTTCGACTAGTGGACAACAAAGAGAACGGGTGCAGAAAAGACCATCTCGCCCTTTTGAGGATGATGATACTGCGAAAGCCTTCAGTATGATGAGAAGCATGCTCAAGTAAGAATTGAATTCCATTTTGTTTTGTTGTTTTTTTTTTTTTTTTCATAAAAAGACAAAAAAGGGTATTTTGGTCATTTAGTCTTTTCTTCATTCAATTCCGATTCCGTTAAACAAACACCAAACCCTAATGATGCGATGATTGTATTTGTTTGTAGATATAATCCCAAAAATTACCATGGTGATGATGATGATGACAGCGACATGGAGGCTGGTTTTGATGACATCATGCGCGAGGAGAAACGGAGGTTAATATTGCCTCTTTGACACTTTTAAGTTTTAACCCCTATACTTCTACTTATTTACAAAATAACCCCTTTGACTTTTGTGATTTAGTGCTTGGATTGCTAAGAAGGAAGACGAAGAAGAACTTAAGAAAATAGAAGAAGAAGAAAGGCGGGAAAGAATGAGAAAGAAACGAAAGCAAAGTCAACGATAAGAATGTGTTAGTTTGTGTGTGTGTGTGTGTGTTAGAGATGTGGGTCCCGGTTGTGAGTTGTTGTGACAACCATGATTTTGGCATATTTTTGCCAAAAAGTTTTTCTTAAAGTTAGTTAAGATGATGATGTTATGGGTTAGAGAAGGTTCATACAATTGTGATGCTCTTGATGGTTTTTTTTTTTTTTTTTTTTTTTTTTTTTTTTTTTTTTTTTACATTTTCACAATGGTAATTTCTTTTTTTTTTTGGAAGAAAGTTATAATATATTTCTTTGGATTTTGAATCTTTATGTGAATGAGTTTCTATAATACCTGGTATCCGAGTAGCATCTACAATACAAAAATGAAGAAAGTATATATATATTTTTAATATTTATTTAAATAATAAAAAATATTATGCTGATGTGTTAACTTTGATAAATTAAATAAATTGTTAATGTTAAAAGTGACAATAAAATCTTCATTCCAAGACAACTTTTTTTTCACAAACTTTTGGCAATGACCTCTTCGGTATTTTAAAAAATTCACCAAAAAATCTTCCATAAGTAAAAGAAATACATGCTTTCAACTAACAATCCAATAATGAGTAAATAACACACACACACACCACTAATTTACTACAATTATAAGTCATAAAAACAGTTACTTCTATCTAAAAGTTTCAAAAGAGGTATCTTTTAAATCGACCTCAACAACATATATATATATATATATATATATATATATATATATATATATATATATATATATATACATACACACACACACAAACCTTTTTACCCGCGCCAAACGACGGGTGTGACAATGGTGGTTGAATGCTGAAAGATGAATTAAACCTTAGAAATGGACACGTCAGCGATATATATCAAAGATTTGTGAACAGAAATTGCGAGATTTAGGGAAATACAGAGATAAGAAATGAACCGGATCAAAATAGCCTATAAATAGAGATAAAAGATTTGACCTTATCAACTGTTGACCATATGTACTCTACTCTTTTAAATAATAATAAATATAATATAAAATTATTAATTTTATTAAATATAACAAATGCACAAGATAATAATAATAATAAAAAAAAGATTATTCAAATATGAAAGAAGAGAATGTTCCACTTTGATTTCCGGGTCGGATTGTAAATGGCCCGGTCTTTTATTGGAGTTAAATAAGCCGAGACTCCCGCTTAACCGAGGGAGTGAGAGTACCTGCTACTTCAGTCGAGCAAATTCTGGTAGGGTTTACAGAATTCCAGATATCCAAACACATTTGCATCATCGTGTTAACGTGTTAGGGTTCTTCGAAAAATCACAATAGAAAAAGCTCAATATAGATCCAGCAACAATCAGGATCTTGTTCGATGTCGCTTGGTTCACAAACGCCTGATATTCTCGGGGATCGTCAATACGGTCAAGATGTTCGCACCCAAAACAGTAAGTAAAACCCTAATACTATAGAAATGTAGAACAACAATGGTATCCTTATGGTTATTTTTTTTGGGTGCAGTTACGGCTTGTCAATCTGTTTCAAATATAGTGAAGACTTCACTAGGCCCCGTTGGACTTGACAAGGTATTTTTAATGCTTATCAATCTCTAATTTTATGATGTTTTTCGTCTGATCTTTGTAGGTTTAGGATTTTTATCGATTTACGCAAACATTTTCTTGTATTTTCGGACTCTGTATTAAAGTTTGATAACATGCTGTCATTTTTTTCTCTAACTAAGATAAACAACAATGTAACTTTGTCATTAATGGAGGTAGATTGTTTCTTAATGGATGTTATAAGTACATAAGAGTAACTGCTTGTCACATTAAGTCTACCATGGCAAAATTTCTTTTGTAACACCATTATCAACCTCATATTAACATGTTCAAGTTTTAATTCAACTTACAATGATTATGAAGCTTTTGAATACTAGTTACTTGACATGTAGAGACCAATGATTGAGCCCCAAAATGAGAATGTTGAAGAATGGAACAAACAAATTTGTTCTTAGGATGCAAAAAAAATCTCTACATTAGAAGTCTTGAAGGATAATAAATACTCTTATGTTATTCATGTTTTACATTTTCAATTCTATGTTTTTGTGAAAGTCAATCCTATAATAGTTGCTGAATAACAAGTTTGCATATCATTTACAGATGTTGGTTGATGATATTGGTGATGTAACCCTCACAAATGATGGTGCCACAATTCTCAAAATGTTGGATGTTGAACATCCAGCTGCCAAGGTAGAATCTTGATGATTTATTTTTTACTTTATTTAGACATTTAACTTATTATCCTTTATTAATTTTAAGTTTGAGATCATAAAAATAATGAAATTTATGATTTTTGTAGGTACTTGTTGAATTGGCTGAGCTTCAAGATAGAGAAGTAGGAGATGGAACTACTTCTGTTGTCATCATAGCAGCTGAGTTACTTAAGGTATTATTATTATTATTATTATTTCCTACCACATATGCATCTTTTCAGATAATTTTTTACAAATAATATATATATTTTTTGAATGATTATGCAGAGAGCAAATGATCTTGTCAAAAATAAGATTCACCCAACATCTATAATTAGTGGATACCGAGTGAGTGCTCTAATTTCTTTCACTCTTTCTCCAAATAATTGGTTAATATGTGGTTATGGTTTAATTGTTTAATGTTTCAGTTTTTCTTTTATAATCTTTATACTCATAAATAGTTAAATACCAATTTATATTTTATGTATTTGGCAGCTTGCAATGAAAAAAGCATGCGAATATGTTGATGAAAAGCTTGCAGTCAAGGTAACAACTAATGATCATTAAACAGTAATTTAAGAGTAAATTACACAAATCATCCCTAATCGATGTAAAATGTCTGTTATATCCTTATCTATTACCAAATAAACAAAAAAGTTATAAAATATCACATAAAGGGTATAATAGTCATTTTACACCGATTAAGGATGATGGATGCAATAAAAAATGAAAATACAGGGACAAAAAAGGTTAAAAAAAAGGTAGGAAAGGAAAGGAAAGGGATCCAATCTGTAATTTGACATACAACAGGGATGATTTCTGTAATTTACTCTTAGTTTTATAATATAGAAAACAAATTCTATTAATCTTATTCTTTATTTTTATTTTTAATTTTTTTTATAGGTTGAGAAGCTTGGAAAAGATTCTCTTATAAACTGTGCAAAAACAAGCATGTCCTCAAAATTGTTATCCAGTGACAGTGACTTCTTTGCCAATTTGGTATTGTCTTATTTTACACTACTAAAAACTATAAAAAATATTGTTTTTCTTTTTTTAAAAAATATTTTCAACACCAAATAAATAAACATAAATTTTTGTATAGGTTGTTGAAGCTGTGCAATCCGTTAAAATGACAAATTCCTCCGGTAAAATTCGGTACCCAATCAAGGTTCGTCACTAAATTAACAAACCAAACATAATTTTTATTTAAAAGATTTCTATTAAATAACAAATGGCATATTGTTATTTATTACAATTTAGGGAATAAACATCCTTAAAGCACATGGTAAAAGTGCAAAAGAAAGCTACTTATTAAAAGGGTATGCACTTAACACTGGGCGTGCATCTCAAGGAATGCCAATGAAAGTTTGTCATGCAAAAATCGCGTGTCTTGATTTTAATCTTCAAAAAACAAAAATGCAATTAGGAGTTCAAGTTTTAGTCACGGACCCACGTGAGCTGGAGAAGATTCGTCTCAGGTTTTATTAGCAGATTTTAAGGTTTCTTTTTTTTTTTAATAAAAAAGATTCTTGTACCACATGTTTAAGGATGAATGTTTTTGTATATAGAGAAGCTGATGTGACAAAAGAACGTATTCAGAAGCTTCTGAAAGCTGGAGCTAATGTTGTCTTGACAACAAAGGGGATTGATGACATGGCACTCAAGGTAATAGTAAATGTAGTTTACTTTTTACTTTTTCCCAGTTATAGCAATATACTTGCATTTATATTTTCAACATGTATTAATAAATAAAGTACAATACCCATATTGCTATTATGGATAAAAATAGGGCTAATCTCATAAAAGGCCTTATATTTTGTGTTTTTTCTGGATTAAACCTCAAATTTATTTTTTGCCTGAAAAAGACCTTGTATTTCTTTTTTTCCTAAAAAAGCCCTCAACTTTGTATTTTTTTCTGAAAAACCCTTCAACCTACCAAATGTTTCCAAATAAACCCTCAACTTTTTCTCGAAAAAACCCTTGCATTTTCCAATTTTTCTGGCAAAAAATTACTAAAAGGGTCAAATCAGGAAAACTGAAAAAATACAAGGTTTTTTCAGGCAAAATATAAATTTGAGGTTTAATCCGGATAAAACACAAAATATAAGGTCCATTTTAGTCGTTTTTTTCCAAAATTTTTTGTAAAATTTGAGGGCTTTTTCGAGAAAAACTAGAAAAGTTGAGGGTTTATTTGGAAGCATTTAGAAGGTTAATCGATTTTTTGTCAGATAAAAACACAAAGTTGAGGGCTTTTTTGGAAAAAATAAAAAAAATACAAGTTTCTTTTCAGGCAAAAAATAAAGTTGAGGTTTAATTCGGAAAAAACACAAAATATGAGGCTTTTTATGAAATCAACCTTAAAAAATAAAGTACATTGCTATTATTGGTAAAAAAATGTATGTACGTTGCTATTATCCTGAATTTTCCCTTTTAGTAATCTTTTATTCCATTCTTTATATTATTAAAAAGTATTTATTTTATTCTCCTTTTAAAAAAAAATTCAGTATTTTGTGGAGGCTGGTGCAATTGCTGTTAGACGTGTGAGGAAGGAGGATTTACGCCACGTGGCAAAGGCAACCGGTGCAACTGTGGTATGATTTTTAACTTATATATATATATATATATATTATTTAATTTATTTAAATGTTTGAATTTTAAAATGATATTTTAATTGATTTTTTTTTATCAGGTTTCAACATTTGCTGACATGGAAGGAGAGGAAACATATGACTCATCGTTTCTTGGACATGCAGATGAAGTGGTGGAAGAACACATTGCAGATGATGATGTCATCATGATAAAAGGAACCAAAACAACAAGTGCAGTATGTATTATATATATATATATATATATATATATATATATATATATATATATATATATTTCTAATCCAAATTTTAAATTATTAAACTGATACATAATTAATAACATTTTTTTTTCTTTAACAGGTTACTTTGATACTAAGAGGTGCTAATGACTTCATGCTTGATGAAATGGATAGAGCTTTACATGATGCTTTATGTATTGTCAAAAGAACCCTAGAATCTAACACAGTAAGTAAATCTTAAACTTTATTTTATTTTATAAATTTAATATAAATGTTTGACTTAATAAAATTATAGGTTGTTGCAGGAGGAGGTGCAGTTGAAGCTGCTTTATCTGTGTATTTGGAGTATTTTGCTACAACTTTAGGATCTCGAGAACAATTAGCAATTGCAGAATTTGCTGAAGCTTTATTGATTATTCCAAAGGTTTTGTGTTTCTTTTTTAGAATTATTTTTAATCTTTAATAGTATAAAAATATAATATTTTATTATTTTATTGCACAGATTCTTGCTGTGAATGCTGCAAAGGATGCAACTGATTTAGTAGCCCAACTGCGTGCGTGTCATAATACTGCACAAACTAATGCAGATAGGAAGCATCTATCAAAGTAATTAATAATTTAATATATATTGTTTCTTTTGTCTCATAAATGAATATTTTTTTTTGTTAAAAAGTAAAACTCTTCTACTTAAGGAATTTTAGTTTTTTTTTTCTTTCCAAAATGAGTTCTTGATTGGATTTATCCTTTTTAAGAACTGCTAATAGAATGTCTCTATTTATTTTATGCTAGAGTGAATTGCATTTCTGGTTTGAAAAAGTTTTCTTTTTCAATTTTAGTCCTCATTTGAGATTTTTGTAACGTTTTTGGTCCCGCTTCCAAGTAATATACATACCTAGGGACCAAAAATAGTCATTTCACTTTGACTAAGTAATGTTTTTTATTTTTAATGAATTTTGATTTAATTTTATTGTAGCATGGGATTGGATCTAGTAAAGGGAACCACTCGTAATAACATGGAAGCTGGTGTGATTGAACCTGCAATGAGCAAAATCAAGATACTTCAGGTAAATCTTTTATAGAAAAAAAAAGTAAATATTAATAAAAAAACATAAAATTCTTTTATTTATTTTTGTGTCAGTTTGCAACTGAAGCAGCTATAACAATACTTCGAATTGATGACATGATCAGACTTGCAAAGGACGAGAGTGAAGATGGTCAAAATTAAATCATTTTTTTTTTTTTTGTGTGTATTAAAAATAAGTCAAAATTTTGGTTGGTGGAAATTTTGGTTCGAATCATCAATATCAACATTGTTGTTGGTGGAAATTGGAAAGAATAGCTTTTGTGAATTGCACAACTTTTAGCAAGTGTTTGATGAATATTTTTGGTGTTAAATGCAAAGTGATGGCGTTTTGAACTTTCGCATCAGTTGATTGCATAGTTTTGCGTTGCTTAATCCCATCAACAGTACCAATTAAGAGGCGTGGGGTCAGTAATTACCATATAGGGATGTTATTGCACACGCATGGAATCTCCAAAAATAAGAATTGAATATAGTTGAAAAATGGATTCTAATAAAACCAAACAAAAGTACCAAGACCTATCACCACATTTCTATAATATATCTAATAAAAAAACTCAAGAGATATAGATGTTGATGATTCTAGTGTTGAGACTCTTTTCATATACAAATCATATGGTGTAGACTGTAGATTGCGTATTTGTATAAGATGAGTTTGATACTGTTGGATGAGTCTGATCAATCTTGAAACCTAAAAAGAATTTCAGGCTAGAAACGGAAAAAGAAATACTATTAGAAGTGACAATTTAACACGTAATAACAACAAATGACTTCCTACCAACTTACAACATCTATCGCTCCGATCATCATTCATTGAATTTATTTGTAGATATATATATATATATATATATATATATATATATATATATATATATATATATATATATATATATATTCACATCATATTTCCATTAACTTTATCAAACAAAATGTATCAACATAAACATTTTCTAATCATTGACCACTTTAATTTTTATCTTTAAATTAACTAATTTACCTTTACATTTGTGAAATGTTTTATAAAGCCTACTTATCTAACTTATTTTTTATATATATGAAATTAAAAAAAAAAAAAACTTAACAATAACATTAAAAAAATAGATAGTACTATTAAATCTAGAGTCCATATTTCGTTAACGTCATATATATGACAATAAAAATAAAAATTGACATAAATATCGTTTGACCATTACAAGTTTAATATTTATCTTTGGAGATTAAAACATGAAACTCCAAAAAAAAATTAATTGGATCAAATATGAAACTAAAAAAAAAAGAATAAAAATAGTTGATGTTATCGAACTAAAACCAAACTCGCTGTAATGGTAAATAAATATTTTTAAGGTCATGCTCATCCATAAGTTGATATATAGAAATTTTTTCATACATATCCTCATACTCATGTTAAATGGTGACATGTATCATACAAAATATATTAAAATATTATTATTTTCATTACATATAACACATATGTTACCATTTAAGATTTTAATTACATATGACATATGTCACCATTTAAGGTGAGTAGGAAGATATGTAGTTAGAAAATGTAGAAAATTTTTTAGGTGTTGTTTGTTTTTTTGAAACAAAAATTAATGAAGTCTACGGACCATCTCTGCAACTCTCTGCAACAAATGAAATGGACCAAACGGCTGCAAACTTTAATAAGAAGCGTATTTGTTTTTAACATCTGCATGTTGCTGTAGATATTAAAAAAATAAAATAAACTGATTTCATATAATGAAAATATTTTTTAATACTGAAAATTTAATATTGTATGACATTTCAGCTAGAATTTATGATATTTTAGTAAAAAATATGATATTTCAACAAGAAGTTATCATTATTCAATATAAAAAACGAAAAAAAAATAATTTAGCAAGAATAATAAAAAAAAGAAACAAGCTTTCAACAAGATATAATCCAAATTCATCAAGAAAAAAAAAGAAGAGGTTAGCAAAGACAATATAAGTGCTGCCCCAAATTGAATACGTGCAAAGATTTATTTTACTTTGAAGACTTCTGAAAAACAAATAGTTGCGAGATGAAAAGTGTTGCACGTGTGCTGCACCGCGCAACAATAAGAGGTCTAAAGATGTTTTTTTTTTTTTTTTTTTTTTTTTTCATAAAAAAAAACAAACCATACCTTAATTTCTCTTTAACGTACATATATATACCTGCTTGTAAATTGCTTTTAACTTTCGAAAACCATTATTTTCATTATCCTTATCAAATTAATTTTCAAATATAATACAACATTTTTGAATTCCTAACAAATTGAACTACCCTCACATTCAAATTTCAATGTTATGCTACCTTTCTTCCCCTTTTATTTGTGTCTAAATCTAAAACCACCTTTTGTTGATTACCTTATATTGGATTTCATACAGTCAAAATATGAAGTAGTAAGAGAAATAAGGGGCATTATGTAAAACTTTCCGGATTTTGGGTCACTTTCGGTTATCAGATATATAAACCTCCACAATAACCTTCCCGACAAAATCACTACCATTTCGATTCGAGCAAGCAGCTTGGACTTTGGAGGCAGCGGCCATTGCAACACCAGGTTTTCTCTTTCCCTCTTTCTCTTTCTCTCCTCTCTCTAGCACTTGCATTTCTCATCTTTCTCTATTTAGCTTAATGCTCTGTTGACACAAAATAAGTAACACAAACTCGCCAATACTTACCCTAATTAACTCTATCCTTCTCTGTGGCATCCTAATTTCGTCTTGTTTTTTGATCGATTTGTTTATGTTTTTTTTCTTCTTCAAATCATTGATTACATGTATGCAGCCCGGCCCAATACACCCAGGGCAGCAAAATAACCAAACGACTTCTAGAAAATCACATTGTCAAGATCGAGAAGCAGAGCCTTTAATCGACTGATGATGATTAAGTTTTCATCATTCTCATTATAATTTATATACTTCTCCCTTAAACCTAGTTGCTAATGCACCAGGTGAATTTCTTTACTTTTCATTCTAATATCAGATTTCTCTACTCCGATAACTGATTACCTTCCTATTATTGTGATTTCTGAAACATAGTCACCGAAGAATTTTGTTGTTGTCGATTTTTAAATTGGTTTAGGGTGAGTTCGATTTCTAAGCTTCCTAATTTCCGTCTTCTTTCCTTTGTTCACTACTTGTCATTCTAATTTCTCTAAGTTCTGATTTGCGTTCGTTGTTATCCGAGTTCTGAATCACAAGTCACTAAAAATCAAAAGAAGTTTGAAGTTTTTGATTTCTAAATTGATGTTGAGTGAGTTTAATTTCCGAATTCTCATATCTCCTATTCTGTCTTATGTCTCTTATTCTCTAATTCTCATTCCAATTTACAAGGTCTGACTTATAAGCTTCTTGTATTTCTGATTACCGAGTTTATTTTTTTTATCATATGCTTCTTGTATTTCTGACTACCGAATTCTTTTTATTTTAATCGTATTTCAAAAGAAATTTGTTGTTTTCGATTTCTAAATCGGGTTTGGGATAGTTCGATTTTTAAATTCTCATGTCTCCCATTCATTTTTTTTCTGTGTTCAATGTTTTTTTTTTGTTTTACATATGGTGTACATTGCTTTTTGTTAGATAAATTTTTTATAGCTCTAATTCAAACTTTTTTTGTTGCAGGATTGTTAGAAGATAAGAAGAATGGTGGGTTTTACATTGCCTCAAAACTCTTCCATTCAATGTCTAAGATCCTCATTCCTCCCTCATAAACCTCAATATCTCAACAAACCTTCACAGAAGCTACTACTTCCTGTAAATCTGAATGATGTTAATTTACATGGAATTGGAATCCGATCAAAAATTGTACCAAAAATATGTCATGCCATTTCTGAGAAAGCATCATTAGGAGGTGTCTTGCCCAAAAATAACAAACCTGTAATTGTGATTGACAATTATGACAGCTTCACTTACAATCTTTGTCAGGTTCTCCTCTTTCTCTCATTCTGTATAAAAATCACTCTCATTTTGCTGTTCATAGCAAAAAATTATTTGTTATGTTAATGCCTTTTTTTTAATTTGTAGTACATTGGAGAACTTGGATGCAACTTTGAAGTTTACAGAAATGATGAACTTACTGTTGATGAACTCAAAAAGTAGTAATTATTCTCATTTGATTTTTTTTTTTTTTAAAGTTTACATTTTTTATTGTTTATGTAATATTTTGTTTTATAGGAAAAATCCTAGAGGAATTCTCATATCTCCTGGACCAGGTAGCCCCACAGTTACAATTATGTGTATTTGTATAAAAATTTATGTTCATAATATTAAATATTATAAATTTATTTTTTTATTTTTAAAAAGGTGCTCCACAAGATTCAGGAATTTCATTACAAACAGTTCTGGAACTTGGACCTGATATACCTTTGTTTGGTGTATGCATGGGATTACAATGCATTGGTGAAGCTTTTGGAGGTTAGTTTTATTTTTTAATTATATTTTTTTTAATTTTTAAGTAATAATATTTCTTGTAATTTTGTATATGTATTATGAGGAAACTTTAGTGTTAAATCATATCCTTTGCTGTCAAAGATGCATATATGTCATTAGGGTTTGTTTTTCATGATGGAATGGAATCAACAAAGGAATGGAATGTGTCATTACATTACATTCCATTCCTTGTTTGATTACAAATTCATTATTTTAATTTTCACTCAGTAAATAAAAAAAATAATTATTTTATAAAATTTACAGGGAAAATTGTGCGATCTCCATACGGTGTAATGCATGGAAAAAGCTCACTTGTTTATCATAACGAAGGTGGGGAAGATAGTTTATTTTCAGGCATATCAAAGTATGTATTTTTTTTTTTTTTTTTTTTTAAAATTTAAAAATAAAAGTAAAAATATAGTTTTTGACATTTATTTTTGTTTTTTTTTGTTAGCCCATTTATTGTTGGGAGATACCATAGCCTTGTAATTGAGAAAGAGAGCTTTCCTAGTGATGCACTTGAAATCACTGCATGGACAGAGGATGGATTAGTTATGGCTGCACGTCACAAAATATATCGCCATTTACAGGTTTTAATATTATTATTTATTATTTATTCATTTCCAAAAATTAAATAATAATGTATTAATTAATTTATTAGGGGGTACAATTTCATCCAGAGAGCATTATTACAACCGAAGGCAAGACAATTGTTGGTAACTTTATTAAACTCATAGAGACCAAGGAAGAAGAAGAAGCTCAAGCTATTTCTAGAAATTAAATTTGGGAAAATTTAATATCTTTAAGACTTCAGAGCCTTTTTTTTTTTCAAAGTACATGATTTTGACATTTTGGTATTCAAACTAGGAAGATTAAGTTTAAGGGAGTTTTTTTTATACTTTATTTTGCTTATGTTATAGATTTTATAACTTGTTGGGAAAACATATGTGAAGAGGTGACATTTGAAATTGGGATTTTGGTACTTTTTTTTTTATTGTTTTGAGTAATTCACTTTATGTTGCTAGTTTTGACAAGAAACATGATCAATTAAAAGGAATTTGTTTGTCATTATTACATAGTATGATTATAAAATATGGTAAATGGAACAAATTAAAAGTGGGACAATAATATCTTGTAGTCTAACAAACATTGCGTAACAAAGAGATGTATAATTAATAATTTTCATGTAGTTATTCTTATTGAATGTATTCATATTGATGAATTGCATTAGAAGGGTTACATTCGTTTGAATCTAAGAAAACCAATATTAATGTCATATGAATCTATATGCAATCAGCAAATATGATGAAAACTTGATACTTAAAGATTCAGTAAACGAGGATAAAGACTAATAACAAAATCGAATGGAAATACACATTTGAATCTGTAGTCATGATACATAAGAGATATAAAGAACAAAAAAGATGTGTTAACATCTCAACATGATTTCAAATCAAATCTACTCAAGTTAACACCATTCTTTACTAAAACTATATCATCAAGAATAATTCATATAAAGTCGACAACTTTTTCAAGATTTTCAACATACCAATCTCTCTCACTTGCTCTTCACACTAACTCCATCTTTTCCGGCGATGATCACAGCGGTGGTCATATCCAGAAACAACCCATGTTCCACCACCCCTTCAAAAGCCGATATCTCCTTTCCAGCAGCCCATGCATCCTTAATCGGAGTCTTGAAATACAAATCCACAATGTAATTCATATTATCAGTAACATATGGCTTTCCATCTCCATCTAATCTCAATTTCGCATCACACCCTTCCGATTTGAACAAATCTTGCAGACGAACCAGATTATACTTCCAACAAAACTGCACCACTTCAACAGGCATTGCTAATCCACTTCCACCTAATCCAGAAACAAGCTTCGAATCGTCGACAACCACCACGAATTTGTCGGATGCGGCTTCCACCATTTTTTCACGGAGGAGGGCGCCGCCTCGGCCTTTGACTAGATTGAGATCAGGGTCAACTTCATCTGCGCCGTCGATTGCGAGGTCAAGTTTGGGATGATCGTCGAGGATCGATAAGGGGATCCCGAGGGAAGCGGCTTGTTCTTGAGTTCTTTTTGATGTGGGTACGCCGACAATGTCTTTGAGTTCGCCGGATGCGAGGAGTTCACCGATTTTGGATACCACAAAGGCGGCGGTGGAACCGGTGCCGAGTCCGAGAACCATCCCGGAGCTGACGTATTCTACCGCCTTGTCCGCCGCGAGTTTTTTGAGATCGTCTTGGGTTAGTGGTTGGACAGGGGTTGGGGCAGAGAAGGCTTTGATGGAGAGATATCGAGGGGAATTGAAGGTGACAAGGCGGGTGGAGGTGGCGATTGCGGCATTGTTGTGGTGGCGGAGAAGGGAGGAGGAGAGAGGAGGACGGGAGAGGAGGGATAGGGAAGCCATGGTTGACGGGAAGGGGTAGGTGGGTGTGGTGTTGGCTCACTCAACAATGGATCTCTGTCTATCCGATGATCGATCAAGTGTTTGTGTTAGGCTGACATTGATTTGTCGTTTCTACTTTCTAATCAAAACAAAAGCTTGGTTGGGTTTGTTTCGAAAGGATGAGCCTTTTTTGTCCACTTTCTTTCAAGAATGCAGAGTTTCATTTAGCCACAAAGTGTTGGTTTTTCACGATTATGTCCCTCTCAAGAATGCAAGTTTCAATTTATCAACCAAACTTCCCAAAAATGATTGTATTAGTTTACCAAGTTATGAGCGACACACCCATGACCATAATGAACATTATCTACTATTGGTCATGAACATTATCTACTATTCTTTCCGAACTTAACTTGTGCTAAGGAATCTATGACTATTGTGATATCAAAAATCCCAATATGGAATTCGCCTAGAAGAAAAACAAAAATTGCGTTTTCATTATGGTATTACAGAACGACAATTACTTAAATACGTTCGTATCGCCGGAAAGGCAAAATGGTCAACATGTCAGGTTTTACTACAATTACTTGAAATGCGCTTTGATAAGATTCTTTTTTGCTTGGGTATGGCTCCGACTATTTCGGAGTCTATATCAAGAATCTAGCTAGTATCATGTCATTAACATCATCTTTATTAGGTTTATGGAAAAGATGTAAGAGGGCGTTGCAAATTGGTACTCGTGATATTTCCTATCTTGTGTTAGGTTATGATTGAAAAACACATATATAAGACACAAATATAGATAAAAAGAACATAAGATTTAACGTGGATCACATGACTAGGTTAATTGTGTAATGTTCATAACTACATTAAATGTTTATAATGATTTCATAATGTAAGATTTACAAGTACAACAAAATACTATATATGAATAAAACGTAGTCTAAAAATCCAGGAAACCTAAGTTAACAAACTGCCTATCTCATCATTAGAAGGCTTCAAAGCCTTTTAAAGTCTTCAAATGAGAAGCCTTTTTGAAATCACATTATGGAGTCAAGTGTCTTAATAGACTTTAAGAAGAATGAACTTTTGCACATCCACAACCAAACTCCACAACTCAATTATCTCCTACTAGGAGACAGATTAACAAACCAACTACCTTCGGAAGCATGTAACTTTTGTAAACCCAAAACTGTGTAACCTCAAGTACCATTGTCTTGGTTCTTGCTTGAATATATACATTATTTTATTCAGTTTGAACATAATTTTTCATTACCAGTCATCTAGAAATCTTAAGCTTCTAGCATGTCGATGTCTTCATGAGGTTTCCAATAAGAAAATTGTTTTTACATATAGCTTCTTCAGATGTAAGTCTTTTGCAACTAAAATACCTAAGACTAATATGTTTATAATTGTAACGCTTCAAAATTAAAACAATTTTTTTTTCATTTTTAATTCTCAAAATATTACTCATAAATTCAAAGCATCACATAAATTGTAAGTTATTATCAAAACAAGATCAGAGTATCCCAAAATCCTCCAATCTTCATAAGCTGACATATGTGTACAATTATGCCTTCGCCTACCCGGAATCTATAGAATTACCTGAAACACATTTAACTCAACACGGTGAGCATGAAGTTTAGTGAGTTCCCCAAAATACCACACACAAATAAGTAGCCTCTCATGGCTATATCTCTATAAGGACCCTACGGTATAAGCACATAAGACCCTTCGGTCAATAACTCAAATAAGACCCTCCGGTCACACAATATTACCACTTAGGTAAGTATAGTGAGAATACTCACCTTGCAATATAAAGCAAGTATATACTGTACTCGAACTACTGGTCAACAAAAGTCAATGGTCAACTCATCGAGTGCAGCTCATAGACTCGTCGAGTTCCTTCAGAACTTAGTAAATCGCGAAAATTCGAGTCAACTCGCTGAGTTGCTGACCAACTCGTCGCGTCCGTGTAGTGTCCCGAAGATTGGGGAAAACCCTAACCACTCGTCGAGTTGTCCCATCAGCTCGTCGAGTTCACTCTGAATCCAAAAATGGGAAAACCCGACTCAACTCGTCGAGTTGGATGCCCAACCCGTCGAGTTCTTCAACCATTACACACTAAGCTCATTCGAGTTGATTCGAATGCTCCAAACTTCAGATCTACCCTATAGGATGAAGTTATCACGTAAAGTTGCTAACTTTACGTGCATGCAAGGCCTCACAAGGCTAACACACACAAAACTAAGCTCAAGAAGGGGTTTAGGGCATGGAGAAGGGCCAAAGCTTGATAAAGCTGATGACTTTATGACTATATGGGGGCCTAGAGGAGTCCGGATCTGAAACCATGTACTTGTGACAAGCTCAAACCCGAGTGTGACTCCATTATGCCCCAAAAATAGCCATAAACACTCCCAAAAGAAGATCTAAGTATTAAGAAGTCAAGGTATTAACTTTATACCTCGGTTTGATCGCTAATACACAGGAGGTGGTGGATATACAACCTTCTTCTTGATCCAAGCTTCTCAATCTTCAAGTCTCCTTCCAAAACTCCCCAAAATTCATATTTTAAGCTCTCAAACACACCCAAATAGGGTATCAGACTCGATCTAGGGTTTTCTCTTGTTGAATTGACGATGAGGGATGGCTATAATGGATTATAAGTTCTTTAAATAGGGTGAAAAAAACCTAAAAATTAAGGTTTCCACTAAACAATCTTAACTCGTCGAGTTGGCCCCTCCAACTCGTTGGGTTTGCTTCAAAATCCACGCGGACTGATCTTTCCTACACGATGAGTTGGAGCAGCTAACTTGTCGAGTAGGTCCTATAATATCCATTAAACCCTCAAATTTCACTCCTAGGAAATCGGGGTGTTACAATTCTCCCCCCACTAAGATCAGACTTCATCCTCAAAGTCATTCTATGGAAATAGATCTGGGTACGGCTCACACACCTTAGACTCTGGCTCCTGAGTCCACTCTGAACCTCTACGTGTTGCCACTGCACCTTAATCATGTGCACATTTTGTTTCTCAAGGTCCTTACTTTCCTATCCAAAATTGTGACTGGCCTCTCAATATAGTTCAGGTGATCATCAACCTGAATGTCCTAATAAGGAACCACTACCGTCTCGTCGGCTGCACACTTCCTCAGTTGGGATACTTGGAAGGTGTTATGAATCTGGCTCGACTCCTCAGGCAACTCTAATCAATATGCTACCTTGTCGACCCAGGTATTCACTCTAAAAGAACCAATGAATCGGGGCCCGACTTTCCCCTCTTCCTGAATCGAATCACCCCCTTCCATGGGGATACCTTCAGGAGTACAAAATCACCGACCTGGAACTCTAGCTCAAATCATCTCTGATCTGCATAACTCTTCTAACGACTCTAGTCCGTCAGCAACCTCTGTCTAGCCTGCTGGATTTGCTCTAATGTCTTGAGCACTATCTTAGTGCTCCTCATCACTCTATGTCCGACCTCCCCTCGATAGATAGGAGTCTAACACGTCCTCCTATATAAAAAGCCCAAAGGGAGGCATCCCAATACTGGAGTGATGATTGTTGTTGTATGAAAACTTAGCCAAGGGCAGGTAGGAATCCCAACTCCTACCGAAGTCCATAACACATGCATGTAGCATGTCCTCGAGTATCTGAATCTTCCGCTCGCTTTGCCCTCCAACACTGAATGAAAACCTACCGATCCACATGGGATAGAAGTCCTACACTCGGTATTAACTCTCACCAGACTGGACCATCCCACTATCGATCCCATGACAATTCAACTCCAGCCCCGAACTGAATGACCATGCCTGATTGGAACTATCCCCTGATATCCGAAATATAACTTCAGCTACCTTCTAACACTGAACACCAGATCCGAATGCAGGATCGACTCTCGACCAACAGTTGGACTGCCAATGCTACCTGAGCACATCCGACAATAAAACTCCACATTCGTTCAATCCAACCGAGCTATCTCAACCAATCATACTGTACACACAATCACTAAGTCTGCTTTACCCCAAGCGAATATTGCAACCGATCTGCTGACTCACATCATATCTGACCTCCATCGTCTATGGATTGCTGATCCCATGCGTGTCGTGGTCCTTCTTAAGCCAAATGAACCGACCCACCCATGTCTAAAACATCAGATGGGAATCATAACCACTCAGAGTGTAACCCATCTGAAAATACAGAATCCCATCCTCTACACAAATAAAGCCAAACTCAATCTCAAGAGTTTGGTCCGACAACAAAATTGGAACCATTTGTATCCAATCTGATTCTCAACTCTTATCCCTAGATCTGCGAATCTATGCATACATTACTCTCCAATCCTTCCGATTTGCAACAACCCCTCCCTAAATTGAGATATAATGGTTCTCGACCATTATTGAGACCCTAATATCGCCCCTGGTCCGACCACCAGGCTCCCAAAGACTCAACTAGCAAGACTACCTAATCCTAAGAACCCCCTCCGCGTCACACTGACTAGCGAATGCTACGGCTCCCCACAGCCTTACAACACTCTCTCCCACTAACTCGCAAATGCTACGACTCCCCGCAGTCTCACAACACTCTCTCACTGACTAGTAAATTCTAAGGCTCCCTATAGTCTCACAACACTCTCTCATTGACTAGTAAATGCTACGGCTCCCCGCAGTCTCACATCACTCTTTCACTGACTAGTGAATACTACAGCTCCTCAAAGTCTCACAACACTCTCTTATTGACTAGTAATGCTACGACTCCTCGTAGTCTGACGACACTCCCTTACTGAATGCTAAGACTCCCCGTAGTCTTACGATATTCTCTCATTGACTAGCGAATGCTACGACTCCCCGCAGTCTAACAATACTCTCTCACTGACTCGTGGATGCTACGGCTCCCTACAGTCTTACAACACTCTCTCACTGACTCGTGGGTGCTACGGATCCTGAAGTCTTACAACACTCTCTCATTGACTTGTGGGTGTTACAGTTCCCTGGGAGTCTTACAACACTCTCTCACTAACTCGTGGATGCTACGGATCCCTGCAGTCTTACAACAATCTTACATTCCAACAATGTAGGGATTCATACTCGGAAACCCCAATCACCATCACAAAATCTCACGATAGCTTGCCACGACCACTAATCTTCCACTTACAAAACTTGAAACCTTGAAGTTCCCCAACTCATAATTTGAAGCACGGAGGAATTGTCAATGACTGAGAATGAGTTGACGATTAATCCAAAAACCCATCCTCTACTGATCAAAACCCATGCGAAACTACTCATACCAACTCTAAAGTTAATTAACAAATCAACTGCTGCCCTTCCCGGAGTATAGATAATAATTTATACGTCGCACTATCAAATCTCTCAACAATCTAAACTTGACCCAAACCCAACTGCCTCAAAACTTGATCATTGGCAAACCCGATGACACTGATCACAATAAGATCTCTGACCCACAACTTCCTGCCGTGGAGACACCCATTCTTTCCTGAGTAGATACAACGTAAATCACTTCACTCTGCACATGCCCTGTCTATCATTAGACTCAAGTCTTATATTCCCGGACCGCAGATTCCCTATAACCCAATCTTCTGAACTGCAACTTGAGCTGATTGCTGATCCTCCCATCAAAATACTCAGTTCTCCCCCACTTAGGGTTCGAACCATCACCAATTGGCATACGAACAGGCTATGCTACAAACTGATTCACCAGATATACCATACTCAAGTCTTGAAACATACCACGAAACACTCGATGATCTTCCAGATAAAGACCAAGCAATTCCAAGTTTTCCGAATC